TGAAGAAAAAACTTCTGAAGAAAAAAATTCTGAAGAAAAAATTCTGAAGAAAAAACTTCTGAAAGAAAAAAATTATTCAGCACAAAGTTTTGATTGGTTTCCATCACATTGTTTTCCTAAAAATCAATAATGTGATTTTATCAATTTTAAACGCCCTAAAATTAGCTAAATCGGTGCTTTAGGGTGATTGCGTAATATGCGTGCACTATGACCTTTGACTTTTTACGGGTCATGCAGCTCTGTGCCGGCCGCCCTCCCACCCCTCGGCCGTGCGTTTTATGGGAAAATTTCTACTTTTTAGGGTTTCGGGACCTAAAAACTAACACCAGAGGGAAAATAAACCACATACGTTATTTTCATGGTAAATATCGCTAAAATGGACCACGCATTTTTCTTCCGCGTTACCGATTTTTAAAAAGGCCTCGCCATGTGCTTCACGCCGATAGCGACTCGCCTTCCCCCGTCCGGTTTTGTGAGCAAATTTCTGCTTTTTCAGACGTTTTGGAACTTAAAAACCGACAGCAGGCGAAAAATAAACAATATACATTATTTTCATGGGAAATGCCGGTATACTGGCCCAGACATTTATCTGTTGCGTTAACCGAATTTTGCGGCCGCATGCTCATGGTGCGGTACGGTAGGGAATTTTCCACGGCTAGTTCGTAAACGCATCGGCTTTATAAACTTATTTTCGGGGTCGAGGGCTTTGTTTTACAAACCAATCAGACAATTAGCGTTGTTTACATGACTTAAAAACGCTAGCGGGGCGCCCGATGTTCCACCAATGACAGCTATTCTCTCGGTAGCGTCGTGCGAAATGGTCATTGTTTACTCGTTTATCGCCCATTCACAACTTTCAGAAACAATGCCGACGGGAAAATGGACGCCACTCGCGTCAAGATTTCGATGTTTTTTGCCTATTTATCCGCGAAAATACGAAGAGAAGACCCTTTATTTGAACATTTTGGGAGTGGCGCTAGAAATTTTGGGAGTGGCGCACCGCCGTTGCACCATTGCCTGGGGAGACCCCTGCCATTACACGCTATAATAGTGCCCTAAACAGCAATGAATTATTCATGCTTTATGTTTTTCATGTGACGATGCAGGGGTTTCCCAAGAAATTCTGAGGGGAGAGGTGTTCCCTAATTAGTTTTCGAAAAAAACAATAATTTTCATAAAAACTCAAAGAGCAAAACTGTAAATTTAAATTTTTGGGACAGGTGCTAGGATTTTGGGGAGAAGGGCAGCTTCGTTGCTCGGGTACTCTTGATGTGATGTGACTTTAGGCTCCCTGGCAGCTTGTTCTAGAACTGCAGGGGTGTTGAAAAATGTTTCAAGGAGGACATCTCAAGA